TCTTCTGCATGTCTGTATCACTTTCTTATGCATTTCTGGTTTCTTTGTAATGTTGGGGAAAACTCTTAGACGGTGTTTTTCCTTTACTCTCGCACCGCAACAGTCAACACAGAAGATTTCTGTCACCAAAAGTGCGGAGGGATTTTCTCTACACTCCAAGAAGCAGACACCAGCTGGGTGTCGTCCTGTTCAGTTCTGACGCTATCTACCTGGAGATCACGTCAGATCCCATGGGTTCAGGGTTCAGTCCCCAAGACTCCATCACCACCAGTTGCAAGTCTGGGTCTCCAACTTCTGACTGACTGGCTTTAAGTTGGGATTGCCATGATCCTGTCTTTGGGTTCAGTTAATTTGCTGGATTGGCACACAGACTTTAGGGAAACAGTTTTACTGGTTTATTATGAAGGACAATGCAAGGAATACAAATGAAGAGACACGTAGGACGAGCTATGGGATTGGGGCGCAAAGCCTCCATGCCTTTCCTGGGTAGCCTGCCCTCCAGGAGCCTCCGTGTGTTCAGCCGCACTCCTTCCCCCAGTGTATAGGGAGGGATCCTCTCAGGGGAAGGTCTTGAGATCCATAATCAAAAAGGTGAATCACTTGAACCTGGGAGGCAGAGGTTGCAGTGAGTCAAGATCACGCCACTACGCTCCAGCCTGAGCAACAGAATGAGACTCTGTCTCAAGAAAAAGAAAAAAGAAAAAAAATATATATATATATGTGTGTGCACACACGCAAATATATAATGCCACAGTTATATTTTATTGAGAGTTGTTCATTTCCCCTATTAGTAAATGTATCGATGGCAGAAACCAGCTGTTTTTCATATATATGACCCCCATAGAAGCTAACACAGTCTGTGGTGCTTTGCAGGATTTGTGGAGTGAATTATTGCTTTCTGTGACATTTTTCTTTGGATTGATAATTATGATTTGTTAGCATAATATCAAATGTATCTTGTGGTAGTGATAAAATGGCCAGCATTTGTTGAGCACTTACTATGTGCCATATGTTGTTCTCAGTACTGTATACCTATTAGCTTGTTTAATTCTTATAATAACCCTGTGATTATTTTAATAGCCTAGTGATTATCCTCATTTTGCAAGTTCAGTTACTTGTTTAAATTCCCCTAGATAGTAGTAAGCGATAGAGTTGGAATTCAGATTTATAGTTTGCTTCTGGAGCCTGTGCCCCAAACCACTATATTGTCATTCCATGCTAATCAGGTCTTTTTGTGACTACTGAATTAGTAATTTAATGTTATTCATGGGATTAGAGTTGCTATTTGACACCTCCCATAGTGGTTTGCATTCATATCATTTGATGTCTGAAATAAACCAATGGGTCTTACCCTTAACCTTCAAGGAGGATTTGCCTGAGATTCACATGCCTAATTAGGTTTAAAGATTCACTTTCAGCCGGGTGTGGTGGCTCACGCCTGTAATCTCAGCACTTTGGGAGGCTGAGATGGGTGGATCACGAGGTCAGGAGTTCGAGACCAGCCTGGCCAAGATGGTGAAATCCCGTCTCTACTGAAACTAGAAAAATTAGCTGTGTATGGTGGCGGGTGCCTGTAATCCCAGCTACTCAGGAGGCTGAGAATTGCTTAAATCCAGGTGGCGGAGGTTGCAGTGTGTGGAGATCTACCACTGCACTCTGGCCTGGGCGGCAGTGAGACTCTGTCTCAAACAAAAGAAACATTGTCACTAACTGGTCTGGTATTCTTGTTCTTAGGATGGGGGCTCCCTGGATCAAGTTCTGAAGAAAGCTGGAAGAATTCCTGAACAAATTTTAGGAAAAGTTAGCATTGCTGTAAGTATGTTATGAAGTTTTTCTTCTAAGTTTTTCATTGGTAAGTTAATGAGTTTGTAGGAAATGGACAAAAGGAGGAAGATGGGAAGTCAATGAGGGGAAAGTTTATAAGAAAAGTGGCATTTTCTCACTAGACTGTTCCCTGTCTGGAGTCTAGATACACTGTTGTCTCTCTCGCATTAGAATGAGAAAAGTGACTTTGTATTAAAATCTGTGTGTCTTGAAAAACAGGGGTGAGGTATAGTGGCTTGCACCTGTAATTCCAGCACTTTGTGAGGCCGAGGCAGAAGGATTGTTTGAGCCCAGGAGTTAGAGACCAGCCTGGCAAGCATAGCAAGACCTCATCTCTGCAAAAAATACACAAATTAGCTGGTCATGTGGTGCACACCTCTGGTCCCAGCTCCTTGGGAAGCTAAGGCGGGAGGATCGCCTGAGCCTGGGTGTTCAAGGCTGCAGTGAGCTGTGATGGAGCCACTTTACTTCAGCCTGGGTGACAAGAGTGGGACCCTGTCTCAAAATAAATAAATAAAAAATAGGACAAGGCATGCAAGAAAATTCCCATTTGTTTGTGGTATTAGAAAACTTCTTTTTCAGAGTGCAGACTTAGAGAAACGTGAATTAAAGTTGTTTAAATTTGTAATAATAGTTTTACTTAAAAATAATACTCTAGGGCTGGGCGCAGTGGCTCACTCCTGTAATCCTAGCACTTTGGTAGGCTGAGGCGGGCAGGTCACCTGAGTTTAGGAGTTTCAGAGCAGGTTGGCCAACATGGTGAAACACTGTCTCTACTAAAAATACAAAAATGAGTTGAGCATGGTGGCAGGCGCCTGTAATCCCAGGTACTCAGGAGGCTGAGGCAGGGAGAATTACTCAAACCTGGGAGGCAGAGGTTGCAGTGAGCTGAGATCCAGCCGAGGTGAGACTGTGTCTCAAAAAAAAGAAAAAAAACTCAAAGGCCAGGTGCAGTGTCTGACACTTGTAATCCCAGCACTTTGGGAGGTTGAGTTGGAAGGATTGTTTGAGTCCAGAAGGTCAGTACCAGCCTGGCCAACATGATGAAACCTTACTTCTACAAAAAAAGAAAAATAGCTGGGCATGGTGGTTCACACCTGTAGTCCCAGCTACTCGGGAAGCTGAGTAGAGAGGATTGCTTTAGCCCAGGAGATAGAGGCTGCAGTGAGCCATGATCCATGATCGTGCCATTGCACTTTCGTCTGGGTGACACAGCAAGACCCTGTCTCAAAACAAAACAAAACAAAACAACCGTATATACCATGTAAAAAGATGATTGTTTGATAAGGCAGGTTAAAAAAAAAAATGAGCTGGGCGCGGTGGCTCAAGCCTGTAATCCCAGCACTGTGGGAGGCTGAGGCGGTTGGATCACGAGGTCAAGAGATCGAGACCATCCTGGTCAACATGGTGAAACCCCGTCTCTACTAAAAATACAAAACATTAGCTGGGCATGGTGGCGCATGCCTGTAATCCCAGCT